ACATCCATTCATTCAGGCTACTGGATTGCAAGGTATAGACATACAAGGGTAAGTCAAAATATTTTGCTATGAAATCATAGAAAGAGTTATTAAACAAAAATGACGAAATGTGAAGCTATTGTCTATCTATACACTGCTCAAGGCAGTGTTTTTGTCTCTCTAACCATTTCCTGATGAATTCTGCCCCCCTTAATTTACACCACATCAAAATGGCAGTTTTGCCAACCTTGAGGGACTCAAATCATGTTCCTTTTCAATGTTCTTTATGTCTAGAGGATAAAAAGAAGTCTGAAGGGGTAAGGTTGGGGTAGGGTGGATGAGGTAAAGTTTCTCAATGAAATTCTCCTAAGATAGCCCTTGCTACTCTTTAAGAATGAGCAAATGCATTATTGTGATGGGGGGAGTTCCCTAACTACAACTTTCCTGGATTTTTCTCATCAATGAAATTTTCATTTTCTTAAAACTTCTTCATAATAAGCCCTTGTGATCCTCCTGTATGCTATGAGAAACTGTATCAAGATTATCCCTTTGGAATCCCAAAAAAGTCACCATAACCTTTTGAGCTGGACTTTCTGCCTTGAATTTAATTGGTCCAACAGATCTCCTCAGAAGCCACTTGTTCTCTAGATCATATTGGTAAATTCAAGACTCATCCTTAGATATAATACATTCTATAAAATTGTCTTCATTAGCTTTGATCTTGCTTAAAGATTCTTCGAGCTAGTTGATCTTTTGAACACTTTTGGTATCCATCGAGTTGAAAGCTGAAGTAAAGCTATTTGCTTAAAATTGCAAATACCAAACCATGTGAGATCCCAGATTCTCAGTAACTATTGCACTAATGATAATTTTATGGTCTTCTTCTACCAGTTTCTGGACTTCAGCCACAATTTCTATACTCATCAAGGTTGACTGGCATCTCTTCAATGACTCATCTTTGAGGTCTTCCTTAAAATATCGGATCCACCTAAAAACTGTTGGGACAACATTCCTATAAACTCATTCAATGATTAGGAAGATGTCAACTTTAATTTTGCTAAAATTTGATATTAACAGTGACCACAGAAACAATTTTTCCCCCATGGCACAAAATGTATCCTAATTTTCAAGACACCCTAATGAGACTTAGGTAAGTGTATTACTGAAAAAAAAAACTTGTCTACAGCCTTCCACTGATAACAGAGACATGTTTAAGCATGTTTTGTGTGGAATGAACCCATGCATGTATGAACTGGGACCCTAATAGCTAGACTTTTGTACTTACCCTCAAAGAGATGACCATGTCACCTAGTATAGCAGTGACACAACTTTATCTCTTAAAACGCTTTATTTTGTTTGTTTTATTTTTAAAAAGATGCTATGTGCTACCCTGAAAAACTGTCATGTCAACTGACAACATTAGACTAACCTTTATCAACTTTTTTCTGCCTTTGTTTTAGGTTTGCAGGACAACCCTTGGCTCTGTGACTGTGACATTTTCAAAATGATTGTGCTGTCAAAGGTTGCTGATGCTACTATAGTGCTTCTGGATCCACTGATGGTTTGTAGTGAGCCCGAAAGCCTCACAGGGATTTTATTCCAGCGGGTTGAGTTGAAGCAGTGTCTGAAGCCATCTGTGATGACCTCAGCCACCAAAATCACATCTGCTCTGGGCAGTAATGTCCTGCTGAGGTGTGATGCCACTGGCTACCCGACCCCACAGCTCACATGGACCAGATCCACTAGCTTACCAGTTAATTATGCAGGTATTTCCTTTATTCGTCTTGTTTCTATGAAACAAGGAGTTCACAAAGGTCTCTACTTAATCTCATGCTTTTGTGTGACTTGGAAGTTATGATTTTATTTCTAAATACCAATATTGCTGGATACAAGGTATTTCAAAGATACTGCTTATAAGTTAATGTCACTTCAGTTTAAGTACTAACTACATAGATAAGACTAAGCAATCTGATTCTTTTCTTAGATAGAAAACAACACAAGCCAATGGATGGGTGATTGCAGACATAGGTTTAGTCTTACTTCATCATCTTGGATATGTCAAACTTCAAAATGCATAGCCATAAAGATGTTTAAGTGATATTTTCATAAAATGGCTCCTTTTAGAATCATAGCTTAAATAATTCATTACATGGAAACCTCTTTATTGTGAAACAAAGAGTATCACTTTAGAAATATTGATTACATAGTCTTTTTAGATCCTTGTGGTGCTGTAGAATAAAGCAAGTAGACTGCAAGGTCAGTTTGAATTGCAAGGCCAGTGATTTAAACCCATCAACTACTCCTTAGAAATCCTACACAGTATTGCTATGAGTCAGAACCAACTCGATGGCACTTAACAACAACAACAACACCAAGTCAATTATGTGGCCATGATTTATATTTGGGTGATCTTACATATGATATTATGAAGAATGCAGGGTCATATTTTTAAAGCTTTTAAGCAAAATTAACCACCACTTGTCTGTCAGTTTGTCATACTGTGGTGGCATCTAGGTTGTTGTGATGCTGGAAGTTTTGCCACTGATATATTAAATACCAGCAGGGTCACCCATACTGGGCAGATTTCAGCTCAGCTTCCATACTAAGAAAGACTAGGAAGAAGGAGAGGCAGAATACCTCTGTATGTTTAGCCACTGAAAACCATATGAACAATAGGAGGACACTTAGTTCACACCAGAATATTGAAATAGGAACATGATGAATAGCCCCACATCATTGTCACATATAATGCTGGAAGACGAGCCCCTGAGCTTGGAAGGAACTCAAAATATGACTGGGGAAAAGCTGCCTCCTCAAAAGTAGAGTTGCCTGTGATGATGTGAACGGAGTAAAGCTTTTGGGAACTTCATTTGCTGATGGAGCATGTCTCAGAATGAGGAGAAACATTGTAAACATCCATTAATAATCAAAACATGGAAGTGTGAATCTAGGGAAATTGTCAAAAATGAAATGAAACAAATAAACATAGATACCCTTGGCATTAGTGAGTTGAAATGGACTGGTTTGGGCCATTTTGAATCTGACAATCTCATGGTGTACTATGCCAAATATGACAAATTGAACAAGAATGGCATACATTCACCATCAAAAAGAACATTTCAAGATCTGTCTTGAAGTATAATGCTGTGATAGGATAATATCCATTTGTCTACAAGGAAGACCAGTTAATAGTACTATTATCACTAAAGCCAGCAATGATGAAATTGACAAATTCTACTAATTTCTTCAGTCTGAAATTGATCAAACATGCTACCAAGATATATTGATAATTACTGGT